AGCAGTCAGACCATTCATCTTAGAAACAATGCCTGACCCTATAAGACCCATTCAGACACAAGCAAACTCCCTTCATCTCAACCTTCCCCCTTATGCAATTCCCCCTTGTTCACAATCTGCCTTCAGGCAATCAACAAAACTGAAACTAAGATTGCACAAACGTTCCTTTACTTGATCTGGTTTAAGTCCTGAAGGTCAAACTAAAATCAAAGTAGGGCTGCAAGCAATACAGTTAGCCAATACATAGGGAGGTATGTAGATAGGGGTTATACCTGAGTTTATAGAGGGGAAGCAATGGTTACCTTTCAGTTCCCTGCCTCCAGAACTCCTCCTGAGTTCCGGCAGAGCTCCCGCAATCGGTACGGCAAACCTCCCACAGAGGCCTTGGCGCGGATTACGGGTTGCAATCCCACCTGCAGCCTTCCTCTCAGAATAGGACTAGACTTAGAATAAGAAAGGCAGAAGGAGATAGTTTTGAGACTCTCAGATCCAAGAGGGGTGCTCTCAAACTCGCAGGAGAGGGCCTTGGTTCCTTGACTCGCCTGGGGCCCCCGCAATGGCGGCCAACTGACAGCTTGGTCAAAGACTGCAGACAGTCGACGTAACCCTTTCTGACGAGCCTCCCAACTCACAGCACCACCTCCCGCTTATCTCGACACTTCTCCTCTGCCCACACGCAGCCACTCAACAGCTAAAATCAGGCAAACCGCGGCAGCAATAGCATGCAGTGACTAGCAACAGCAGTCCCTACGGAGCGGCAATACCCCGCAACAGCAACCCGCACGCCGTAGCTTGTGCCTCCGTCCTCGGACGCAGCAGTCGTGCACCTCGACGGTCACCAGCAACTGCAGTAATCACCCTCAGCAGCAACGCACAGTGGTAGCCCGCAATCAGCAGCCATATGTAGCAACAACCCTCTGCGACAGATCACCGCACCAGTTGACTACCGTGTCTCCACCTTGTAACTGACCTGCTGTTGTTTTGTCTAGCACCCTCCGGCCCTGCCCGCTGCGCATGCGGGAAGCGCAGAGATCGTCTCTCAATACTGCAAGAAACAGGCGGGACGAGCGGGCCAGTAGTTTGGCAACTGTGAAGCGAAGAACATGGCAACAACGACAGGGCTACCAACCTACGGAGCATTCACGTAGCAACCAGGGAAGGCACGGCCTGCAAATGAACAGCACGTCAGTGAATCAACGAAGCACAGGGCGGGACCAAGACACGGTCGCACCATCAGCCCGCCAACACCACATCCGAAGCTAGCGGGACACAGGTAGCGAGGCAAACAGCGAAGCGCGGGCCAAGACATCCGCACTACCTCCCCACACCACGGTCAAACCCACAGACCGTTGGTTTCCACCACCCACTGAGCTGGGGAGCTACTCCAACAGCCGCCCGTCACCACCTACAGGCCGCACAGACATCCCGAATCGAGCGGTCTGCTTCTCCATGCGCCTGGTCCGTAACCATGGCCAGGTTCGCTGGGGCTATTATGCAGTTCGTCACCGCTCCCTTCCAAGTACGAGGGCTGCCAATATGGTGAGTCCTCTCTCTCTCTCCTTAACGGCTCCTTCATCAGAATCCAACCATACATCCTGCGCCCAGAACTAGCGAGGGGCTACTCCCAGCCATAAGCAAACGACAGCAGAGAAGAAGAAAACAAAACATAAAAAAACGAAATGAATCTATCGCACAAAAACGGCCAACTACATAATACTTCGAGCTCACTACTCCTCTCCTCCGCGCTGCTCGCCTCCCCTAACAAGCTCCTATTTTACTAGTCTAACACTAAAACTAACCTTACTAATCAACTCGCCTGGATTTAGGACCCCCGAAACGATCCTTCCCTCGCTCGATTTCGTCCGGAAACGAGCGAGATACTTATTTCCCCCCTTTCTATCTTTGTCACTCCCACCATAGCCCACGCACCAATTTTTCTACTAACTTTCACTACACCTTCTCTTTCCCTTTTCTAACTGCGGCATCGTGATCGCCTCGCCTAAAAACCCCTGTACCGCCTCTTTCCCCGCGTGATTTCGTCAAGGAACGGGCGGCTATACGATCCTCACCTTCTTCACCACCCCCCCCCGTCCGCCATACCTCCGCGCAGTCCATTCTTCACTAATGGCCGTTTACACTAACCCTCCTCTAAAACTAACTTCACTTTCGGATTCGCCCGGGGTCAAAACCCCGAGATAGCGCCTCACCTCTCATGTTTCTACTATGGATCGAAAGATCCACACCTCCCTGACTGCGCCCTGCCCCTTCGTTCCACCACTCTCCTATTGCGAACGTATCTGGCGCCAGTTTGCTTCCAGATCCATTCAACCTCCCCTTAGTCGTGTTCGTCGCCCGCTCCGCCTCCTTCGTTCCCTCCGAGCCAATGCCCGCTCTGCCCTCTCCCTCGTCGCTTCTCTCCTCTCACCCTCTTCGCGTGCTCCAATCCCCGGATGCACCCGGTGCAGCTTCGCATCCGGGTTCATCTGGCTCTCTTTCCTTCTGCTGCCCCGCCTCTCGTTGTGCTATTCGCTCCGCTCGCTGCTGTCTGCGCTTCCCGACACGGTCTGCCTCTTCGCTACTCCAACACCACCTTCGTTGAATGCACCTGGCCTGATTCGTCGCCCAGGTTCATTCGACTCGTTCTCCCCTTCCTTCACTGCGCCCGCTACCTCGTGGCCTGCTGCCGATGCAATATCTTCGCCGAGCTCGCTCCACTCAGGTTTTCCCTGGCTAGCGCACTACTCAATAGCAGCCGGCCCACTCCCTCACTGGTAATGCCCGACCACTCGACTGCGCACCGAGTTTCACCGACCGCTCTGCGCCGCCCCCCTTTAGCTCCGCACTCCCCTTCCTGCGAATGCACCCGGGCGAAGACCCGGCCCAGGTCCACCCGATCTGCCCCCCCCCCCTTGTCGGCTCCCTCACTCAAACAGCGCTGGCCACCCTTTCGGGTCCCCAACGGGCAGCCCGCCCACCAACAGCGGCCACAGAGGCCAAGGGCGCGGGCCTGCTGCTTGTCTAGGTATGGCCCTCGATGTGCCGGGCTTGACGCGGGCACTAGTGGTGGGAGCAAACATTCGAGCCAGAAATTTGACAACCGTCGTGGAGGAAAGTCTCACAGGTGCACAGCCGTTGTAGCGGCCTCCCCACAATGCCCCATGCCGCCCCCCTGCGTATTGGTCGTCCCTCTTTCGAGTCCCGGCGGGCATGCGCACAGTCAAATCTCCCCCAGCAGATCATGGTCGGCGGACGATGCACCCGCGGCAACCCACGCCGGCTCGCATGCACGTCGGACCCTCGGCTTGTACTCCCACAACGGCGGGATGGATAAGTTCCGCTAGCATCCCGAACACCCAGAAACCCACGAATAACAAGTCGGGCCCCGCAACGGGCCCTCCCTACCCAAATCAACCTTTCGCGCACACCGCACGACTATACCGAACCATACCGTCAGTGGCGTCATGCTCCATACGTACACGCAAGTCCCCGGCAAGCACATCAATCGATGGGGCAATCTTTTTAATCCCTATTTTATTAGAAGGGAAAAAGAATCCGGCTGGTGATCACGCCGACTCTTCAATCATCAACAAATAAAAGGATCACGCGCGTCTTAAATCCGCGCGCCCACACACTCTTTACTCTAGTCAACCATCAACCGCATAGACAACGAACCCTACCGCGACTCGCGCGGTATATTTAATTTTTAAACCAGAGCTATTTTCTGCCACTTGCAAAAACCAAGGCGGATACCCTTGTAAGGGTATTCGCGCCGACAGCGTGAGGCCTCGGTCCGTCGAATCGGGCGTCGCCAGCCAGTGTCATGCGGTCTGCTGCGCTGGGCGGGCATCGCTTTTCCACGCTGGCGCTGCGTTTAGACAACGACAGTTTCATTTCGGAAGATCGTCGTTTTCGTCGTTTGTCGTCACGCCATGCACGTTGGAGCACAGATCTTCCCTCGATATTTCTTCTGTCGACGGAGTTCTTCGCTGCACCGTCGACCGCTAACGTTGGTTTGTTGCCCTTTCCATGGCCCTTACCTGGCCGACCTCCTGCACAGCCTGCCTCTGCTACTCCTCATCGTCGAGCTGCTTCTCATCGTTGTCTTCTTCCACGTGTGTTTCGTGGGCCTGCTCCCTGTCGTGGCTCGCAAAAGGAGATCTTTGAAGAACGGCGACAGGATGGATAGTCGACCGACCTGCGGCAGACCGGCAGTCACGACAGCAGGAGCGACCAATCGGCAATGCAGTGCAGGGTCTGTGGCGAAGCAGGCGTACGACCCGACATTGTATGCTCACCTGCCTTCTCACGAGATTCCTCTGCCCCCGTCGGATGACGAGGGGGAAGACGTCAGGTCGTCGACTTTGCGACGCAGTTGTACAGTGGCAGGCGGGCGGAAACCCCTTGGTCTTACATGTCACTATTGAACGAGGGGTTGTGCGACAATGATGGCAATGCAGCGGTTGATCGGAGCTTCCAGTTGTCCAGCAGCAGCGGAGCAGCGAGAACGCACACTCACATCATCAATGCCCACCCAGATGGGGATTGCGTGGAGCAGACGTACGTTGGTCTGCGGGGGTCGCGAGACGGCGGTCTACCTCAATCACTTCGCGATGGTGGCGGGAATCAAAATGTGTCATCGACGCACGGTAGAGGAGGAGTCGGTACGGATCAACGTCCGGAATGGATGCGCTTATCACCTACGTTGTGAAGCGGATTCGGGACTCCTCGAGAATGGCAGCGACAGGAGGATTTGCCTAAGGGAGCTGCGCACGTTGAACGCAACGGCAGGCAGTTGTGGGCGGAGTGCAGGCAGGCGTTGCGTCAAGCTGGAATGGAGACAATAACGAGAGGGGTGCAACGGCTCCACGTGGACGAACGCGATGACGCGGTTGTTGAGGAGCCCCTCGACTGTGACGACGCTGACAGTGACGAGGATTACAACTCCGACGATTTGCCTTAGATTAGGCCCCTTGGGAGGAAGGTGGGGAACGACGGTGCGGGTGCGAAAAAGGGTGCCACTCCGAGAAATCGACGGAATAAGAAAATGGATGACGACACCAGCGGGAGCGATGGCGAGGGCGGTCGGAATTTCTGATCAGTCGGAGACATGATTGCACTTGTGAGGGCGAAAAGGGATCAAGATTTGTATATCGCCGAGCTGGGGCACAGTTTGGCCTGCATGAAGACCAGGGAATGGAAGTGGGAGGACGTGCGGGCGAGGTTGCAGACGATGGGCGTCACTAGGAAGGTCATCGACTGTGGGAAGAAATGGGGCAACTTGATGCAGCAATTCAGGAAGGTTTACAAGTTTCAGAACCTCTCCGACGGGAATGACTACTTTCAGCTTTCTTCATCGGCCAGACGATCGGAGGGCTTCAAATTCGTCATGGACCGGAGCGTGTATGACGAAATGGAGGCCATGACGAAGGGGGATTACACGATCCACCCAAAGAATTTGGCGAACACGGGGGTGGCAAGGGGGGTTCAGATGCCGGCAGGCGCGGGGGCTGGAGAGGAATCCATGGCCAGTGAGGGGGGAGGGGAGGCACCCGACGAGGAGCAGGGGTCGACAAAAGATCTGACATTCAGCGCGGGGAGCGCCGACGATTCAGGGAAGAGGAAGAACATGCGGCAACAAACCTTGGAGGCCACCATCGAGGTCATGGGTAAGCACGGTGCGCTCATGGCGAGCACGATGGAAGGCGCGAGCAAGTGGCAATGCTCTATGATGTCACGGCAGTGCGAAATTCTGGAGAGCGAAGTGGAAGTGCGGAGAAAATACTATGTTGTGTCGGATGAGGCGAACAAAATGATGTGCAATACCCTTATGGAGACAGCGAAAGCCATCCGCGAGAGATCATGATTTATAATGAAAGTACTGTCCACTGTCTGTACAGATGCTCGCACGATCGTTTGCCCACGACGATTTTAAAGATGTCCAATTGATGGTTGTTTAGATTTTGTGTGTCGTTGCCATATGCTTAGCAGTTCCTTTCTTTTGGTTTTTTATACTTGATGTTCTTTATGTTCTAGGATTGTGCTTCATGCGTGATTTGCGGTCTCCAGAGCGACAGGGCCACGTGTTGAAGTGGTTATGTGGGTCGAGGATTGTG